TTCTTCTTAGTGAAACTTAACATCATCCAATATTGTGCTATCTATTCACCTGTACTCCTAGTTGCAGATAAATAATTTGAATTAAAACTCTGAATCGCACTAACTTTACTTACAGTATAGCTAATATTTTTCCTCCTAATAAATGTATCTAATTCAGGAATTCAGAACTATATTAAAATACACAAAATACCATAAGAGTATATATATTAGAAAAACTGAATTTTTCACAAGGAAATTATTTTATAAATTGGTAACCTGTTTTTAATATATAGTATCCACATAACATTTTAAAACTACATTATGGATGGAATCACTGTATGAATCTGCATTGCTTCAAGCAATTTTATAACCAATTGTCCTGAAACAAAGTAAATTTTTCAGCATATATATTATGATCATAAAATATAAGTTTGCTGGGATTTGAAGTATTTAAGTACACGCGCATTAACTCACTAATTTCCCACACTGAAAACAAATATAATTTCTGTGGCCTTTGCCTTTATAATTGCCAAAATACCTACATAGGATAAGAATGGGAGAAGCCTCTTGTGCCATCAAGTCCAGTCCCCCATGTTCACAGGCAATCACATACCCAGAATTAAAAATATTTTGAATTACCTACATGTTTTATATCGGGGTATCCAACCTGCGGCACGGATGCCACAGCTGGCATGGGCAGCCTCTGTGTGACACACAGCAGATCAGGGAAGAGGCAGACAGCACTGTGGCAGATAGGCCAGGAAGCAGACAGCAGAGCAGCAGATGAGGCGAGGAGCACAGGGCAAGAAACAGAAAAAAGGTCAGGCAGAGAAACGGGATCAGAGTGGTAGTTGGGGAAAGTGTGGACCTAATTCGTGGCACATCTGGCAAAAAAGGTTGGCCCCTGCTGTTTTACAGTATACTAGTTGGTTCATAGTACAGTAAAAAATAACAAAACTCTCACTCAAAGATTCAGTATTTTCCTTACAGTTTGAAAGACAAAAATATAAAGCATTTTTTTTTCATTATGCTGTATTCTTTATCAATGAACACACAAACTATTTGATGTAAACCAGGACATTTTCATGATGTCATGTGAGAATAAGTAGCAAACTGTCTTCTACATTTTAATGTAAAAACAGAGAAAATTCTTTCAGCTTGACACCTTAATTCTGTTTGAACAAACAGCCAATACTGGTCCAAAGCATTTCCAGGCCAATAAAACCACATATGTATTTACACTCTTGTATACACACTTACAGACAACAAGCGCAGCCATGCAGTATGTGGCGCCACCAACACGTCTGCAGCACTACACACAGAACAGTCAGGTGCTTTCTGCACTGCAGGGGTGTGCTGCCCATGTGTGCACCGCTCCGCTTTTTTTCATGGGTTTTTTTAACCCCTGGATATCCAGGGGTCAAAAAAGCCTGCAGGGAAAAAAAGAAAAGCAGCGCATGCACAGGCAGTGTGCGCTGCTGAAAAGTGGAGCTGGGCCACCCAGAGCCACGCTGTGGCTGCCAGCCAGGCTCTGCCACGAAGGATAGCCATTGCCACAGCCCTGGTCAGGCCCCCAGGACCCGAGGTAAGGCTGCTGGCCCCAGCCTCCCCTACCACCCCCAAGGTAACCTGCCACACACCAAAGTGCACATGGCACAGGCAAGGACAAGTAACTGCAACGCAAGGTGCACCTCTACTACTTGTCCCTGGGGAACCAAATGTCCACACTTACCTGGACGCGGCCTACAATATTACGTTGGGAGGAATCCCAATGAGTGAGAAAAATATTACCATTAATATTATACAATTATTGTGTTAAATAAATATGGTAGCCTGGGTGATGGGAGTAGATCAACAGGATGCTAATAAAAGTTAGTTATGCACCTGATTTATGGAATCCTCGTGGATTTCACAATAATTATAATTTACTAAATAACTACAGTATTTTGCATGTTGTTATATGTAGCAGGCATTGGATAACTTAATATGCCTTCATAATTATATTCAATCAACTGATTAAAGCATGGCCCATGTCAAACACACACAACGCATTCAATTTGACCTGTAAATGGATGGGTCACTGCAAATTTTAAGTCTGTCTTCTCTGGATTTCAAAGGTACGTGGTGCCAAAAGGAAAATAAAGGTTACCCATAGCATTAAAGCAATACTGTTCTTGTTTCCCAGTCTTGATACTGATCTAATTGTTCTAGTGCAGATTTTCTTCCAGGAATAGAAGAACATATCTAGGTCCTGATGGAACATTTGCTGATAGTAGGCTGGAATTCATAAGAGGACATTCATAAAGGTCAGTGACATAAATAGCTCCGTAAAAATGTTTCTCCATTAGTGAGATAAGGAAAATACTTCAAAGAAACACCAAAACAGTGAATCAGCTAGGAAAGAAAAAAAAAGCCATGAAGGCCACAGTAGGCAGCTAGAAAACATTCATGCCCATTGGTTCTAAGTAAAATTGAAATGCTGAAGAAAAGAAATTGCTCCCCAAACAGCTTTCTAGGCCATTTATAATTTATCTGGTATGGGCTAAATAAATGAGCATGTTCATTTTAAAATAATGATCTTAGACTGCTATTCTCTAGTACACTCCCATCTGATATGACAGCTCTCTCAATTATTTAATATCATCTTGTCCTAACAGTTGAAAAATATAATTTATATTTACACATAATCATTTTATAAGGTAATTTGCACCTCAGTAAACTAAATATTCAGTTGTCTTTATTTTGTCAATATAATCATACAAGATTTTGCTCCCTTGAGTGACTGGCTAATAGTTTTCTGTATAAATTACTGAAATTTCCTAATCTGCCAATTAGGAGTAATTTGGGGCAAATCCTGTGTGTGAAATTGAGCCATGCAATAATACATTCATGATAGGTAATGAAAGTTCCTTATAATTTTTTTTAGCTATATTAAATACTCAATTCTGGGTTTATTTTCCTGTGTTATATCCATACCCATCCTTACTTTTTCTAATCCAAATCAAACAAGGTTTTAAAGAAACAATTCGCATTTCGCATTTTTCACTTTTAGTTTTGATATTCTTTACTCCCAATGTGTCATCCATATGAAAGCAAGTGATACAATGATACTACTGTGGGCCTAGCTCTGTTCAGACATTGAATTGCTGATTGCAAAGGGAGCAGGACTGGATTCTTATGATTCCTGACTCTATGCTTAAGCAAAACTCCTATGTAAGAGTTTGCTTTCTTCTCTCTTTCATACTCCTCTCCATTTTGTTGGGATTTCTTGTAAAATAACATTTTCTTTTCAAAAGACTGTAGTAACCTAGTTACCTGCTGGTGATGATAGATAAAAATACAAAAGATGGATGAGACACTGTTTTTAAAACTAAAGGGGGAAAAAAGGCAAAAGACTGACCAACAAAATAATACATTCATATGGTTAATGTAAACAATAGAGACCAAACTGTCACCTTTGTCTCCGAAGTTCCTATAATGTACTGCTATATGGTCATTTCCATTTATGAATGTCTTGCATGTAAAAGCTTGTCTAACTCCATCCCAACTAGGTCCAGTAAAAGACATCACCCTAAAAAATACCTGCCTCTCACATAATTCCTTGGACCATCATGGCTACATCATTCTAACCCTACCAAGTGTTTACAAGTGCATAGAAATAGACCTGAAGTGAGATCAAAAAATAAAATATCCCAGGTCATATTCTCTACTTCAGACACCTGCACCCAACTGCCTCTGGGCCAACCTTCCTCTCCAAAGGCATAATTTTGGCCTTGCCCATACTTCTCTGTATTCTCTGGAATCCGCTATGAAGCTATGTCTAAAGACTGTGTTGATTAAAAGGAGTTCATGCTTGCTGAGATAAGATCTGCAGAAAAACCTGGGGAAACTGCAAATGCAATGTCACCGGGATCTTCCAATCCCGCTTAGGAAAAAAAAAGTGGTTTCACAGAAAACAGAAAAGGATGCAGCCAGTAGCTGCCACATCGCTGAACCCTGAAGTTTTCTGGACCCCCCCCTTATAAACACTTTATATATGCCTGTGGCAAAAATGCTACGGGTTTGGGGCTGTTATTTGAAAGCCAAGGATGATAACTGGGGAAGGAGCTGGGTATGTTCAGAAAGCAGAGAGAGAGGGGGAGAGGGTAATTTTCAGAAGGCAAAGAGTGTGTCCCCCTCCTTGATCTCTTCAGCAATGGTCGGGGTGGGTGTGTGTTCTCCCTTCAGCCATGATTAGGGGGCGAGGTGAACTGAATATTTTCAGAAGGGAAAGAAAAGTGTGTCCCTACATCACGGTGGGGGGGTTTGGGATGTGCACGCTCCCTTCAGCCATGGGGGGGGGGGGGGAAGAGAGCTGGGTATTTTCAGAAGGCTGACTGTGTCCCTCCATCCTCCCTTCAACCATGATGTGGGGGTGGTGTGCTGTGTCCTCCCTTCAGCCATGCTCGGGTGGGGCGCCTCTCTTCAGGCCCGTTTCGGACCGCAGCCCGGCCCAGCCCGCGGGGAGCCCGCCCCTCCCCGGGCTCAGCCGCGGAAGAGGAGGATGCGGCTGCTCCTCCTCAGCCGCATCCTTCGCTCCTGACTGGCCCGGCGCCCCAGTCTCCGCGCGTGCAACACGTCCCTCGGCCCCTACCCCGCCCGGGGCACGTGAATGCCTGTCCGCCTGGCCCCGCTTGCAAAAAATACGCGTCCAGAGAGCGAGGCAAGGCCCAGCCTCCCCACCGGCCGACGGGGAGGCGCCAAGACCCGCCGGCAAGGGACAGGGAGATGGGGGCGATGCCGGCAGTAGCGCGGGTGTTTCCCGGCTGCAGCCCCCTCCCCCAGTAAACAAGGCTGCGCAGCTCCTTCCCCGCGGCCCGGGGGTGCACCCAACTCCGCACGCAACAGGCTGCCCACCCCCGCTCCGGCCGCAATACAAACAACTGGGGGAAGGGCGCCTACTATTGCATTGTATTGCATTCCATTATCCCCCCTGTAGAAGCCCCCCGCGCTGCAACGAGCACCCCGCGCGCCCCGCTTACCCCGCTCGCCGCTGCAGCGGCCTCAGGGAGGGTCGGAGCTTGCAGGGGTGGGGGGTGGCTTGTAGCCCTCGCTTCCTGGCTTGGCTGCCCACCCCCCTTCCCTTCTCCTCTCTGAGGTAACGGAGCTGCAGGATAAGCGCCCGCACATACGCAGGGAGGCTACCATGAAACTTAATCCTGCCCAGCCATGGAGTGACTAGACGCCCAGCCCCCCCCCCCCCGCACCCCCTTCCCCCCCCTCCCCCCCCCCCCCGTCCAGTCTTCCCCCCCTCCCCTCCCGAGCCGAGCCCAGGGAGCAGGCTGGAAGAGAAGGAACCATGACAACAGCAGGCAGCAACAGGAGGGGCCCGCATGCTGCCCTGGGAAGAAACTTGCAGAGAGCCCTGGGCTGGCCCTTTGCAAATCTTGGGGCACAAACGCCCTTCGTCAGGCATAGGGAAGGGTGCTTGTGCCCGAAAGCTTGCAAAGAACAATTGTTTTCCAGCGATTTATTGTAGTTGCTCTAATAAAAGAGAAAGAGATCGCATCTACCCAAAGAGCCTGATTTGCCTGTGTCCTTAAACCAACACAGTTAAAACCAACACCCTAGCTCAGGGAAGGGGCGTGGGGGCTGTGCTCCTCTCTGTCTCTTTTGCTCTCTCTCTCTCTCTCTCTCTCTCTCTCTCCAGTAAAGGAGATGGAGCTGGAAAAGACCCAGCACCCCACATCTTCTTTGAAACTGCCTGCCAAAGACTGCTTCCTCCTCCTGTTTTTCTATACCACCACTGCCCCCTCCTTGGAAAATGCTGAAACTAAAGGCTGGGAAGCACTGCAGTGACACACACAAAACTGCCTCCAGCTGCACAAACAAGCAATGTAGGGGCAAAAAACCCAGTGAAGAGTTTTGTGATCACTATGGCCAGGTAGTGGTGTGCTACTTTCTCAGAGATCTGTCTGAAAGGACCTGCCATCTAATGAAGGCTTTATAATTTTCCTTTTTTTTTTTTAAGCAGCTCTTCAGATTTTAGGTACAACGTTACTTTCCCCTCTGTCCTGCCTGTGCTAACTGCAATCTAAAGAAGTATTTATATTTTTCCTTTTTTAAAAAATGCATTTCTTTAGATTTCAGGTACAACAGATGACCCCCCCCCCCTTTGCCAACTGCAATCGAGTGAAGTGTTTTTTTTCTCCATTTTTAAGGCAGTTATTTAGATTTCAGGTACAACACATGACCTCCCCACTCCTTCACCAATTAGTGTGGTTTTCCAATTAGTCTGGTTTTGCAGCCACCATTTAACAAGTACAGGGGTTTAGTGCATGCACACATGCACACACACACACCCAGGGCCATTATAGCTGTCTAAAGCATGTGCCATCAAACCTATAAAATCTAATTTTGTATTTCTAACATGTATCTGTAAACAAATACGGGGGGGAATCGGACTCATACAACTTTTATTGCATGGTGTCCCTTTAAATATCTCAAGTGATGGTGTCCGCTGTTTCCGTTGAAAACTTTTTCCACACCTGATACATTATGCCATTAATAAGTTTATTTGGGTTTCTTTTACAAAATTAAGCCAAGCTACATTAACTGAAGAATGTAAGAAGGCCTCTTCCCCCTCTGCCCCCACTCCCCAATTAGTTGTAAACCCAGTGGTCTTTTTATTTTTACTGTTTTCCCTTCTAATAGTAGCTGAATATATATATATATATATATATATTCCTCAGAAGTAAAATAGAACAGTTAGCAAAGTAATCTGTTAGGGAGGTGGGAAGAAGAAATATTTCTTTTTAAAGTATAATGGAAACATGTATCTTGCTGTTTGGTATGAGAAGTGGGTATTTTATCTAAGGCTTGAAGTTAGAAGATAAAGAGGGGCAAACCTTTGGATATTTTAAACTAAAAACATGTTTATTTTTTTAAAGTTGCCCATGAGGTTAAACATAAGGTGCCTTTTCCTTAATTTGTTTTAAAGTTTTTGTTAGAATTTTAAATAATTTCAGAAACTAAACAATGTATAAAGAATAATTCTCTGTGCCCTTTACAAATATACAAACGTCCAAATAATTTAAAAAAATGAGTGATGACAACAAAATTTATTTTCAATGTAAGAAGGTCCCGCTGTTTTGTTGTTTGCTTTTTCCTTGTATATGTTAAAGGCTTTGATTTCTATTTAGTGAACACTTTTCATCTAGCAAATGACACTGGAGTTGGTATCTTATCTCAGTTTCTCACCAGGAGATTGCCCCTTGTTCCATGTTTACTCAAGGCAGCCCAGTTGTGATAGCATCCTCAGTACCAGAAAGAAGTCTCGTCTTCACTACTAAATACATCATCCCTGTGTCTGCTAGAGCCTGGTACTTGTTGTTAATTTGCTTGGAGTGTTTTTGTTTTGATTTGTTTGATTTATCAAAATTTAACTGAATTATAAACACTACCATAAACATACTGAAAAGGTACATAATCATAATATACATACATATGTAGCAGGTTTACCTTTCAGAGCTTGGGTTGAGTCCCAGGCTTGAGATCCTGCTGTTTTGATTGGTGGAGCCCATCCACCCATCAGGAGGAAGCAAGAGAAATAAAGTCACTCCCCTTTCCTGAGGGGAGGGGGAGAAGAGCTTTTCCTGACCTGATTGAACACTGCAAACTGTCAGGTCTGGAAGACTTCAGGGGTGGAGCCCTGGAGCGTATAAAAGGAGCTGCGTGCCCAGTGAGGGAGATGTGTCAGGAACAGAGAAGAGTGGGGCTTGGAAGAGCTGAGGAAAGCTGCTCAGCAAGGCGAAGCAGTAGCCCAGAAGTGCCCCTGAAGACTTCCATCAGTGGGGAGCAGTGGACGGCTCCAGCGGTTAGGCTCTCAGTATGCAGCACGGCATCCAGACCCTAGGAGCTGTGTGAGATGGCTCGGGTCTGCAACCTCTGGCATGCAGCCAGAGAGACAGTGCACAAGCTAGTGTGCGAAGCAGGATCTTTGGAGCCCCTTGGGCAGCTCAGATCCACAACACTCAGCACGAGGCTGGGAGCTCAGTGTAGGAGGCTCTGCACAGAGAGTGAGAGACACTAGGAGCTGCTCAAGGTGGCTCGGGACAGCAATTTGGTGCATAAGACACTGCCCAGAGGGTCTGGGAGTAGACCAAGCCCTGGTGCTGCACAAGGCTGTCTAGGCCTCCAACGCCTAGCACAAGGTGAAGCACCCACTACACGCAACGGTGTATGTAGCCCTAAGCCAGGCTGGCAACAGCATGGTCAGGTGGCAGGAAAGCTCAGCGGGAAACAGAGCTCAACCTGGAGAACAGGAGGCAACCCTCCAGGACTGTGGAGTACTAAGTTATCCTGGAGAAAGGGTCCCCACAGGGGAGGGATCCCCAGAATTGTGAAGGGGCACCACATGGGCCACTCCTGGGGGATAGTGGGGAAGTTTAGGAGTCTATGGGGGTCTCCCTCTCCTTTTCTTTGTCCCCATCTCCTTTCCTGTAGTACCTTGGGAGTGGGGCCCCTGACCTGGTAGTCTAAGGATTGCTGGTTATATTTGTAGACTGTGCCTTATAGTATATGTGAATAAATTGAAGCAATAGTTTGTATAGTAATAATAATAATATGTAATATAAGGTTGCCTGATCAGTATCCTTTGTTCTGGATTGTTCTATTGTTCATCTGTATTTTTAAATAATTGGTTGTGTGTATGTCCTTACCCTTTAATGATTTTGTTCAAATAATAAATGTGTATATAGTTAAGTAATTGATTGACTGGGCCTGATTCTATAGGGGATGTTACCAAATCTGCCCATTACTTTGGAGTGTGCTCATTTATTAGGGATAGTTTCTAGGGTCTTGGTGATTCTGTCAATGTGCTGCTTGTGTTACTATACGGAGCTGTATTTCTCCCTTCTGCAAGCCCTCACCCCCAGTGGAGCTATCTTGCAGGACTCAATCTCAATGGGACTGGGTTCCTCCAGTCACCAAATCAGTCATACACACAAACACACACAAATTAACGTGACACGCCTGACCTGGCCGGGCTGATCAGCATGGACAGGCTGACACCCTCATATGCCAAGAATCAGTTCATAAGAGCAACAATAAAATGCAGTCAGACACAAGCACACAGGTAAACAGAATCCCTCTGAATCCGGCTGGGTGTCCAGCTGACACCCTCATGGGCCAGCATTCAGTTCATAAGGGCACGTCTGAGTCAAACTGGGTCAATCAGCCTATACAAGCTGATCCCCTTATGTGTTTCAAACTCAGCACGTCCCAATCTTTGGCCTCTTGATGAGCAGACCCCACAATAATTTGGGCTTCACAGGGATCTTTAGCATAGGTAAAAGAAGCGTTGCTGCAGAGCACGGGAGGAAAGAGAAGCAGAGAAGGAAAAATATACCCAATTACTACCAGTTTGACTATAAAAGTTATTTATTGCTAAGCATATGAAATATATAATAGTACTAGTAGTAATAGACATGCAAAAGAAAAACAAACACCAACAATGACAATACTACCCTGGTTTCACTAAGTATTTGGGGAAACTTAGCTCAAGCTTAACTGATACAGTTCAGGTTCAGAAGTTTATGCCTAGAAAGAAGACAGAGAACGCTGGGATCTCACCTAGTCCACGGTACTCAGGCTGCAAAGCTGACAGGCACAGTCTGTAGCACAGTCCTTGAAGGGAGAGATGATCTGTTCTTCCAGCGTCCCAAGAACGACAGGGGATGGTGTCAGCACAGGGGTTTTCTTCTTCTCCTTCTTTCCTCCTGCTTCTACTTCTTTTCCTTCCTTTTCCTCTTCCTCTTCTCCCTCTAGCAGCACACACACTTACAGATTTTTATACCCTCAGTTTAGCTGCTTCGAAGCACCCTCAGTAGTGTAAATCATTGTCTTTTCTATTGACAAGGGGTTATCTGGTTTGGACCATCTCAGGAAACTGATTGATAATCAGGAAACACTTAAGATTAGGGAGTAACCCAAATACTTGGGAGCCAGCTTGAGATTCCTATGGGTGGCAGATATACTGATGGGATATCTCATGGTTTCTTCAGGAACAATAGATAGCTTGCAGCATCAGGATTTTGGATTTTTACTTGTTGTGCACAAGCCTCAGCTTAGCATGACTTTTCCAGATCTTACTATAGTCTTTTAACAGACTTAAAACAATTATTGGGGTGCTCATAACCTTTTGTGGAGAGGACTCCCACCAGTCGTCTCGGGAAAGATATGACAACACCTG